ATTGGTATATGTCACATAGAGACGTGTGTTTGTGGTGTTTTAATTGAAAATAATGATTTATTTAATTAAAAACAGTATCAATGTGTCTCCAGGTGCTATATGAGGCTCGTAGAGACACAGTGACTCACCCTAATAAAGGTGCTAATATCTCACCAAGATAGGTATGAGTTACTTAGAGACATAGACTGATGCAAATAAAAAATAATACATACTCCTTATATAGAAGAAAAATAGAAAAAGAAGGAATGATGATAAACGTGATGCAATAATAAACAAAAGAGAAAGATAAGAAGAAAGAGAATATTCTTATGTCAGGAGATTCCTGACATAACAGTTTGTCACCTTAAAATGTAACTTTCCTTGAGGAACACCTATTTATCAGCACATTTACCCGTAGACTCATTCATCACTAATTGAAATGTTACCATACCAGCGCCTTTTACTTAAAAAATTATAAAATTATGATCATCATTCTTACTGTTCAACATATGTCACTATGAGACTTCTACTAATATACTACTGTAACAACCTTCTTAGAGACATCTGCAGTTACCTTAATTCATCAATTAAACCCATTTAATTAACAACCATAGGTCTCTCGGAGACATGTGCAAATTAATTAAGAAAATTTTCTCTGAGAGCCATGCTAAACTTTTTATGAAACTTGTAAAAAGCTTCATAAAATTTTTCATTTTTATGTAACTTGTGGGTTAAAAAAATCAACATCCAAGTTTCCTGAATTTTGTGAAACTTTTTACAAGTTTCATAAATGTGTGGTTTATGAAACTGGATTTATGAAGACAGGATATTCCGTTTAAAAGCGCTTTTGACATGTTGTGGTATGATGGGTGTGTGGGTAAACTTCGACAGATGGGAATTCCATTAGCGTACATCAGGTGGATAAAAGCTTGGCTAGAAAATAGAGAGGGGTACATTGAAATCAATGATAAAAAGTCTATGTGGTTCAGTATTGGAAAGGGTGGCCCTCAAGGCGGAATTTTGACACCGACGGTTTTTATTACATATCATGCTGATATGCCAGATTTTCTTTCTTGGTGTTCTTCACACTTCTTTGCTGATGACTTGACTGCGATATTAGCTGGTCAAATTGGTGTAAAATATACACAACAATGTTTAGATCTTGAGAAAAAACTCAAATTATTTTTCGATCAACTTGAATACTATTCTCGTCTTACAGTTCAACCTATAAATTATTCTAAAACAGAAGGAATTCTAGGAAAACGAAGTGCTAGAGCTATAGGTTCAGCGCCATTTGAAATTGAATCAGGAGAAAATAAAATAAATTGGATTAAAGAATTTAAATATCTTGGATATTGGATAAGTTCAAAACTAGGATGGAGTAAAATGATTAAAAAATCGATGTTAAAGATTAGATAGAGATTAGCAATGATTAACTCATTCAGATTTTCTGGTAAAACGTCTGTTCCACTAAGAAGGACTCTCTTTTTGTCGTATGTTTTTCCTCTGTTTAGTTAGTTGTTTCCGTTATTTCCTTTCTTTACAGAAAACCAGTGTAAGGACCTTTTTCATTTCTACTATACGTGTTGAAAAGAATAATGTTTTGCTTAGGTTGGAAAGATTATTTTTTTCGTATGTGTTTGACGAGATTTCTCTAGAAGATAGATGCTATCGTTATTGGAGTAAATACTTAGTAGCGCTGACAGACTCGCTTGACGGTGAACTGCTTTTTGAACGTGCATCTTTAAACGAATTTAGACAGACCTGGGCACAGAAAGAGTTTGCAATCAAATGCTTGAGAGTGTCCAAAAGATACGTAGAGAACGTCTCAGTGATAGAGAAATGTTTGAAGTGGATTTCTGCCAACTCTTCTGCTATCTCAATTCCATATTACGACATGGAGAAGATTGAACTACTCCAAAACTTTCCTGAGCCGTTCTTGTGCTAATCTTCTCTGTTGCATGTATTAACAAATATATAAAATATCACTCACTTGTGCAAAAATAAAATAAAAGTGATTTTATTAGTATATCATATGTTTTTCTGTACTCAAACTATCTGTAACTCTCTTTAATGTTGAAATTTTGTGTCATATAAACAACTTTCTCTTAAATGTGCTATTGTTGAAAAATTTTGTTATTAATGTTGTTATTGATTTTTCTTTAAATTTTTCAGTCATTGTACGGTAAGGGCCTAGAGGGTCGTCAGTTTTTTTTAACAAAATAAAAACTAAAAGAAGAAGAACGAATAACTGAATAAATGCAACAGCAGAACCATACCTCTCCTATTTTGAAAGAACTTAATTCATTCTCAAAATATTCAGTGAAAAAATTCAACGTAAACAAAAATTTTATACATTGATGTTTTTAGAAACCACAAATGCAAACAAACAGTCACAAGGTAAACACTAAAATATGAAAAAAAGATGTAGTTGAAAATGAAACGGGCTCGTGTGCTCTGCATAATGGAGAAGAGAAAAAAGCGAACAAGACAAATGTTAGTGGCGGAGAAATGAAAAAGAAACAAATAGAAGTTTTCTCACTCGGATACAATCAACTACGTGCAACTTATGCTGTAGACCAAATCAGAATTCAGGCCAGTTCCGAATTAGCCTAGGGTAACATAGAATTCCAAGCTGGTCTAACTCAATTCAGAATTAGGGGTGGGATCATTACTCGTTACCGTACTAACCGTAACGGCTTTACACTTCACTGTTAAACACTTTTGATTGAAGAAATGTAGTTCTCCGCTTGAGAAGGTACTCTTCACTAAGCAAAATATGTTGATGGCTTTATCGACACACACCTTTGATTTCCTTATCAGGCGAATTTTGTCTACACTGTTTAAAAAATTCATTAAAAACATTTCTAACATGATCATATCTTGAAACTGTGTCTTGAAATATATTTTCCCGTTTACGTTCTTAAAAAAGTTACTTAGAAAAGTGTCTTTCTACAATAATCTTGAAAAAATCTCGTAATAATTTCTTTTATTTCTCTTTCTTAACCAAAAGCATCTAACGCTAGACATTGATTGTTCCCTTTCTTGTTCAAGTGTAAACTCCCTGAGTTTTTCTTCAGTCAATATTGGAAAGTCAGGACAGGCTTGCGCAGCGTCATATTTTAGCCATTGTCTAGCTTTCATAATGTCTTTGTCTTCTAAGTTTTTCTCCAAATC